TTACAGGTACCTGTTCAAAATTTATTAACGCCAAATGCGAATTAATAGCATTCGGCAATCTGAAGTAGTTCATTTATTACTTATATATTCAGCTGGATTGAATTCTATTTAGATTTCTGTAAGTTTTCCTTAAATATTTATATGTATTATACACGCTCAATCCTGAAATTTATAAATGAAAAATAGTAATGGTTTCAAACTTTATCAATAATTTTATTTTATCTTTTTATTTTAAATATATTGAAAAAAAACTTAATGTCAATTTGAAAATGAAACACGTGAAAAAACCTACTGATACATATACGATTTTACCGTAACGATATCTTACCTTGTTCGTGTATACCCGACGCTGTTGTAAAATGTGTTAAACGTTTACACTATATTAAGTAAATCTGTAAAGGGATTTGTAACCGTGCGTTTAATTATTCGTAAAACGTTTGTCTAACTCTAAAAATGTGTATTTAAATATTATGGATATATTTTTAAAAATATATAATTTATTATATGGATACTGCGCCAATTAAATATACATGGATATAAGGAATTTAACCCTAGAACGCTAATCTTATTTTTACATCTTTTTTTACTAACGATTCATTAAACCCACGATTATCTTATAAAATGTATAATGTACATACTACATTATAATTATTGATTTTTGTCTATCTTTTCTTGATTACATTTATTAGATAAGTAAATTTAATGATTATAATTCTCCATGAAAATATATAAAATTTTGGAAATAGGAGTAAATTTAGTATCTACTTTATGATTTGTGTGTATCCTTTTAATTGACTTTTAAATAATTTACTATACAACTAAATCTATCAATAGATATTGTAAAGCGGTACTTGTAAATACAAAATGATGGTGACTGAGGAGATTGACTACTTTTAAATGATTATTTTTCATTAAAAATCAATTGATTGCAATAAGATATTGTATTTTATCGCTAAACATAATTAAATGTATGTACGAGAGAGACTGGAGGTAGAATAATATTAAATAAACATGCTAAAAATAACTATTATTCAATCATCAGTGTTCGTTTAATTGACAAATCGTTAGCGTTCTAAGTTTAATAATCCTATTGCTTAATCTATAGATTAAATTTGTATACAATTTTTAAGATAACAAACTGAAGATTGTGGTGTTTTTAATGAAAACAATTTAGAGTCCTGTTTCCGAACGATTTCGTTGTGACTCGATTCGTATTTGATCTCGATTAAGATCGTATTTGGTTAGACTAGTTTTTGTTGTGGATTTCACTCGCGTACGTATTTTTATTAGGATTTATTACGCGTGACATCCTTTAATTTCAATATGTATGCGACCGTTGTACAAGAACATTACATCGAATCGTTTTACATTTAGACAATTAGGATTATACCTGAGAGCTGGATAGCGAGCACGTCAAATGCCTGACGTAAATATTAAATGCAGAGGTCGGTTTCGAAACGGACGTTTTCCATTTCAAATCTTTTCGCTCTATATTTTTATATATACTCGTAATACTTACTATCGTTATTACGATTGTCAATTTGATGGTTTAAACGATAACAATCTATAGCTCTCACGAAACTAATATTTTTATGCACCGTGATTGATAATCTTTGTTTTTATAAATGTTTATATAGGTAAGCGTTTTTATTGTTTTACGCTCTCTCAAATAAAACTAAAATCATCATAGTATTATATGGTCCCACGAATCTGTGTTATGGTCTTAAACATCACTGTCACTATCCTCCAAATCATCATGCTACTGAATCTTTTCCTTCCATTCTATCCCTTTCAATTTTTTAGATCTTGCAATAAAACTAAAATAATAACAATAATAAATACGCATGAGATGTATGAGTAGTTCGAAAAACAAATGATCAAGGTCTAATATATGTATTATATGAGTTTTTAGAGTTAACAGAATTATATATTGTACAAAGTATAGACATCTTTATATAGATATACTTTGTTGTTACGTCTGTTTCGTCGGTTTGCCTTTAGCTCTCGCCCTAAATATTGAGTCGGATTTCAACGAACATTCGTTTGAGACTCCTAAAAACTATATTATTATGGTAATTTTATTAATTTATGATCAAAATGTTATATATATATATATATATAAAACAATATACCTGTTATACATGGTAGACACTATAATAACTGTTATTCGTAATATTATACATTTCTTTTGGTTAGGGATCTATTCGATTTTTCAAGGCATCGGACCGAGAAATTAAAAAAAAAAAAAAAAAATCTCTTACTCAGAGTATATCGTATACTGACTATATTCAATTACCTATCTCATAATATGAGTTATTGCGTGAAATTCGTTGAGCATCGTGTTTACCGCTTCAAAAACTGTTAGCCGAGGAAAAAACACACTTACACATCACCGCGATGAAACTAATAACTATCTAAAAGAAAGTTCTCTCTTCTTGACGTGGTGACCGTGAAGTTATAAGAATCAAAGAGAGTATGAGGTTTACTTATAATATTAGTTATAACGGTCACCTAATAATGTGAAATACGATGTAGTTATAGCCACTAACAACACGTGTTTAACGCACCTACTTGAATAAAAAAAAATATATATATAATAATAATAATAATATAAGAAAAATCGAAAAATTATCTATCCTCAATCGATTAGACATAATTTGCGACTAGAAACTCGATATTGACTATTGGACTAAGATTTATGGTTGAAAAGTCGTTCATGGGCAAAAATAAACACCCATGAGCAGCAGAGCTTCGTCAGTTGATTTGAATTTACTTATTTTATATTATAGACATATTTAAATAAATAAATAAAAGATATTTATAATAGGCAACATAATACTATATACCTACTATATTAAATAATATATTATGCTATTCACTTCCAAAACAATTGTGAAATTTGATCATAAAAATGGTAGAAGTGGGAATTGGAAGTTGAAATTGCCAAATGGCACATCTTTGACACTTGCATCATTCATTTATGAAATTCCATCCTTTTGGTTTTTTTTTTTGGGTGTATAAAACAAAAAAAAATACTCTCCTTCCGCAAAACATAATGAAATTTATGTTAAATTTAATTTACATTTTTTCACATCAATCTGTTTTTAAAACAATTCTAATTCCTGAGTTTGAGCTCATTTAGTCCAAAAAGAATTGCCAAAAGTGTCCAAAAATGACGGGAAATATTATATGTTTATATATATAACCAACTGACTCTATGAACTATACTAGTTGAATAGTGTTTATTTTCTGCAAAAAAGAAAAACAGAATAAAAAGAAGAAGCATATACCAAAACCGTTAGTAAACTACCGACGGAAACCGCACTGCCAAAATACCGGATAATTTGGCCGTTGTATTTTAATCTGCAACGGTTTCACCGCCGAGGCATTTTATAATTGTTAATTTATTATGTATAAACGCGTGTAAATTATTTTAGTATTTTGGTATACTTACCTATATAGCGTATATATGACGAAGATAAAGTCGCCTACGCGAAATAATAATACCGCCGTCCGCTTTTGCGCTATAAAGCGTATAAATATCGCATATTAAAATACTGCACCGTTCCATCATATAATATTATAACCCGGCAAACAATTATTGACCTAAGAAAACGTCTTATTATTCGTTTGTTTAGTACACCGTAATAATAATAACAATAATCCGTATAATAATATTGCGTTATAATGTAAACGCGGTTTTACATTATTAACTGGGTGCCCCTATTGTATGCATACACATGCCACGCCGCACTTTCTGCAAGCAATACGGCCCATATAGTATATTTTATGTAAACATTTTGATTAAATCGCTTTGTATATTATTATAATATAATCAGATTGAAAAACGGGATACTATACCTATACCTACTCCTAACTTCCTACTAGTCGAAGACCTGTGGGAAATCAATTGGACTCGAGACTCTATGTTATTGTAATATCAACGCTCAATTTTTTCCTGAGACTTCCATTGAATTCCTATAAAACATGCTACACAATACAAAATTTGTGTCCACGATTTCGTATACTACAATGTATTATAATGTAGTATACACAAGTGATTAAAAAAAGCGGGAATATTAATGATTTGTTTCGTAATTTTACTGCAGTCGAATATTATCAAGCGCAAAGGTGAATCCAGCATATATTAAAACCTTGGTTTCCTATAGCTACGCATCCGTGATTACGTGGTGCATAATGTGTGATTGCGCGGTCACGTAAAATAATATGAAAAAAAATAACAGTGTTTTCGAACAATTCACGCGTATGAATCACTTCCCGGTGGTTGCCTATAGGTCAAAATTTGCGTGACATGCACTGGGTGAAAAATAAAAATTATAACACATATAGCATCCCTTTTACCTAATTTCATTTTTTATAGCATTATTATTATTATAGATTATACATATATTATATTAAACTCGTACAAACAAGCCTATTAATACATTTTATTACGGAATTTAATGAATATAATTTACATATAAGTATTATTCAGATTATTTAAAATAATTAATTTTAATTACAAACAATTCTAAATCTATAAATAATAAATAATGAACACAAAATAAATTGAAATATGTGAAGTTAAAACCTTTATCCCTCTTTTCTTATGTATATATACATATATATATCTCATCTGAAATAAAAAAAGTGAAATTTCATTATTTGCATCGTCTTTGATCAAATTGTAGAATATCAAGTCCATTTCATTCTACTGTTTCGTCACAACCGTTTTTCTAGAATATTTGAATTCCACAACCACAATAATTACACGTATAATATTGCAACATACCTCTGACTATGTATCAGGCAATTAATCGATTCGTGGATATAGGAAACCAAGGCTTTTCGGTATTAAGTTAGACTGATAATAAAAGTAAAAACAAAATTATTAAAATGGTTAATACTCGTAAAAAAGTAAAGTAAATAAATATATAAATAAAAAATGTATGTATATAAATAAAGTAAATAAATGAATCGATGCGTCGTCTGAAGTATTATGATAAGTGTATTATACGACCAGTTTCGAGTTAAAAATTAACCATCAGGTATATTTCAGTCAAAATATGTCAAAATGAGTCGCGTTTTACATTTTGACTGTGGTATACCTGATGATGAGTTTTTAATTCGAAACCGGTGGTATAATACACTTATCATAATATTCCAGGTGATGCATTAATTCATTTGTTTATTTTATTTATACATTTATTGACTATATTTATTTACTTTATTTTTTCTAATTGTATGTACAGAAAAAGTACCTGAAATATGTCCAAAAAAAAAAATGTCTAAAAGTTTTTTATTTAGTGGAAGTAAAATAATTAAAGAACATACCTTTCTTCACGTCCAGTTTGAGTATCTGTAAGATTTTAAAGATTATCCTTGTCGTTTATAGTATTAATCAAATCATCGGACAGGTTAGAGGTTGCAAGCCCCACTCTTGGATCTCGTGCACTAGTTTTGACTGACTTATTTTATTCTATAGTTAATTCTAGTTTTAACTAGTCAAAACTAGAATTGGTTAAAGGGATTTGTGGAAACTAGTTTTGACAGATTTCGGGTTTTAACTGTAACATATATAGACATTATTTGTGTGCTGGAATTTAACTTCAATATTAAATATGAAAATTGATTTCTTAGAACTTCTGGTTGGACATTGGCAGTAGCAAAAATCGGTTTTATTTTTGATAAATAATTTATATAATTTGAATTTTCATATTCTATTTTAAATTCTGAGTGATCCTTATAGTTTTAAAAAGATGTTAAATTTTTTTTTTGTCTGCTTGCTTGCAACATTTTTATTTTTGCTAGAAATTTTGCTCCGATTTACAATGATAGCACTTTTTCTGAAAGGAAATCAGGCTGGAGAGGTACTTTAAGAAGGTCATTTTTCGATTTTATCATCAAATGTTAAAAACTAAAAAAATGGAGGTAAAACGGAAAATGTACGAAATATATCAGTATATTAGTATTTAGTATATTTCAATTTATTTTTTCTGTGGACAAATTTTCTGCCAGAAATTTTACTCTGACTTACAATGATAGCATTTTTTCGAAAAGGAAATCTGACTTTGGAGGTACTTTAAGGAATTCATTTTTAAATTTTATCTTAGAATTTTCCCAATAAATGCGAAAACCGGGATAAAATATGGGGAAATCGTAGGGAAAACGGAAAAATAGGTATAATATTAAAGAAAATATATAATGTCTATGCAATTATTTTACAATAATATGGTATATATATATTATTGATAAAGCAACACTATCAACTGAACTAGGCCCAGAATCGTTTTTTCGTTCGCAATGGTTCATCGTTGCTTACAAATATACATTAAATTTCCTCTCTACTATCTTCCCAACTTCACACCTACAACAGTGGCTGCATCCACGTAAGAAGTATTTATTTATACATAATTCAATCTTGTTTTGACATCAAACACTGTTATATGAGATATATCAAAATCTATATTAAAAAAAAAAAATTGTTTTTGTAACGTGGCTATCCCTATTGCCTCCCTGGATCCGTTTTTTATCAAACGAGAACTACTGTTTTCAACATTAAGAGTCCTTAAACTTCGCTTTTTAACAATTATTGAATAATATAACCGAAGACCACGCATTTGTAAATAATATTTTAGAGTTTATTCGTTAATATATATATCAATTAAATTTATTTATATTTACGATTTCACGAATAATTGAGATCTCGACGATTATCTTTAAGGTACCCCCTATATTTACATCAATTATTTAAAAAATGTATAGGTTTCTCGAGATTATAATAATGTATTTATGTAGTTATGTAAATTGTAATGTATAGTGGATTTATCAAATACATGCTTGGTACTTATAATTAGTGGCAAATTTACCATTTTTAAATGAAGGGCTAAATATAGTAAGTGCCTATTATGAAGTATGTTAACTAAATATACAACTTTTTAAAGTTATTTTGCAAAATATATAATTGTGTAGTACACGGCTAATATAGCAATATTATACATAACTAAGAATTCAGATTTTAGAGTTCAGATTGACATTGGTTTTCTTTTTCTCTAAAACAATGCTAATCAAAAAATCTATACTTATAGATATTTTTAAAAAAAGCAAAAACTTAAGCAGTTGTAACTCTGTTGTTTGAAAACATTTTGGAAAAAATAATTGTGCTTTCCTCTAAAATACCCGCCTCCTTAAATTGTATTACTTCTGTTTAACTATAATTTCAACTTTAAAAACACAATGTTAATTCTATTCGTTATGAAAATTGTTTTGCTATGTTCCCCATTAATTGGAACGAGACTAAATTATGTCATAAGTATAGTATTTTTGTTTATCAACACCAATTATGATACAATATTTGGGTTCTTTATGTATATAAAAAAGACCATAATTTTTTTTTACCAAAGACTACTCAATACAATAATGTCTATTTCTCGAGGTGCTCGATGATTTATTAAAAACTTCTTATCCGTCTCTTATGGTACAATCTTCTGCATTATATTAAAATATTATATTTTGTTATAATACGCGGTCGTGATTTATTAATTTTCTAAATTATTTACCACGTTGATAACACGTATATACCGAAATCGAAATTCGAATGATCCTATTTATTAACAACCGCATTGTAGACATTGTGCTTAAGCAGGGTAGGATTAAGAGGAGGCTGTGTGTAGCAACCCCATCATTCAATACTGAAATTTAATTAATTTCAGTCGGAAATTTTGTATATAGTTATAAGGTGCGCGAGTCATCAACTCGACAATATTAATAATATGATTTTCGTTTTGTTCAGACGTTTTTGGTGACTATATGAAATTTAATTCCGTATGATTCAATAACGTTTTTAACTACACTAATATATAATAAATGGAAGTCGTTCGTTTTTGGATTTTTGTAGCGTTCGTGTGGTATACAACCAATTCTAAATAGGACAAAAGAGATCTGAAATTTCGAAAGTTGCCGGATTTTTAAATTTCTATACGCAGATAACTCTTGAACTTTCAAATTTATTGAAATATTTTGTTTTGTTGTTTTTGTTTTTTTCTTTGATTGCTTAGCCTATAACATGGGCAAATCCAAGTTATAATAATTTCGATGTAGGTATTGAAAAATGATACTTCTCTCTACATATAAGCTCATTAAAATCTGTTTTAAGAATTTTCGGGCCACACGTGCTTATATGTTAAATGTCGGTCAATGGTAGCCACATGAGTAGAACATTTTATCCGGTCACATTGAGAAATGAAAATAGGAGTAGATAATAGAAAACCGGTCTATAGGGAAACAAAACGACAATAAACACGACCACAATAAACGCCATACATTTTCGTGAAAACAGCGCCGGTCATTATTAATTTATGTTAACATGGTGAATCATTTAATAATTGAAAATATAAAATAGAAATTAAACATATTCGATTTCTCCATGTATAATCGCTGGTCTATGATAAAAAAATTTACGCTATACATAGGCAGGCACTTCGAAAATAATATAATAGTGGTTTTAATATAATTCATATACACAACGGTGCTCTCAAATAGGCTTATTCTTTATTTATTTTATTTTTCCCGGGGAGGGGAGGAGTGATTCAGTTTTTATTATTTTTATCATAGGTAAATGGTACGGGCGTACCGGTGTCAGATATTATATAATTTTGTGATGATGTTTTTCCGATAATATTAATAAAGTTTAATGAGATGTATTTATTTTAGTTTTCCAAATCCTGATAATTTTGTCGGCACGTACGTCTGATAAAAACGATAGCGGCTTCAATAATGTACACGTCGACGACGAATAGAAATTCCCCAAGTTTTTCTCACGTACAATTATTTTGGATTCGTTGGCACGACGACGACGTTTAATCTCAATTTCCACGCCATGATGATCTGGAGCCGCCATTATTTCTAGAGCCCCGCGAGTTCAAACGAGTGTATAGCGTGTTGCCGATCGCGGGTAAATCTAATAAACGTTAAGAATAATAGTCTAGTATCACTTCCGTTTCCGTATAAATCTTATAGTATTATTCTGTTCTAATTCTGTATAATACGGACTTTTCGACAAGCCCTCTATACATTGAGAGGGCGTGCTATCGTCTATAATTCGGTTGTACATAATGGTTTGCATGGGAAAAACTATTCGAGCTATAGACTTAATATTATGAAATCAAGTTGATCTCAAGTTATAATAAATAAATTTCCTATTTCAAGTTTCTGCGAATATTTCAATCTAAATTACAACGAAAAAACAAAATTTAAAATAATAAAAGCATTAGTTTCGTAAAATTTTCCTTTATGTATACTTCACACCATGGATGAGCCACTGTTGAAGGTGAGAAGTTGAGAAAGTAGGATATAGAGAGTAATTTAATGTATATCTGTACACAACGATTAACAATGGCTAATGAAAAAACATTCTGAGTAAAGTTCGGTTATACAATATACATGTTTTTAAAGGCTGTAATATTTACGATTTTTCTTAACATTTGATATTAAAATTCATATAAAAAAAAGACTGATATACTTCGCACGATGTGTGCAGCCATTATTATAGTAAGAAGTTTGTAATGTAAAATAAAAAGGGGAAATTAATTTGTATCTGTGCGCAATGATAAACCACTGCTAACGAAAAACCGATTCTGAGTGGAGTTCAGTTGATAGTGTTGCTTTGTCAACAACATATGTCATATTACGGTAAAATTATTATATATGTACTAAACATTTTTTTAAATATATTTGTTTAATATTGTACCTATTTTTCCGTTTTCCCGTATTTTCTTTGTTTTCTTTTATAGTATTTTCCATTTTTTTGGGAAAATAAAATGACCTTCTTAATATACCTCCCCAGTCAAATTTCCTTACAGAAAAAGTGCTACACTTTAAAATCAGAGCAAGATTTCTGGTAAAAATTTTTGTACAATAAATCAAGGGGTAATTTTCGATTAAAATAGTTCAAGCAAGCAACAGTTGGTTCTTTAGTTACACCTACAATTTATTTGTTTTTTCCCCGTAGGTAAAAGGGAAAAAATAAATACAAACAATTTTTTCTTTCGGGTTTGAACTCGCGATGCCTAGGATGACAATAAGACATAGGTACCTATAACCATTAGATTACGACAAACATATTTTATAGTAGACAATATCAAGTTATTTGACATAA